TTTGCAGGCGTCATAGGATCTACAGCAAGGACAACAAAAACTAAACTCCTAGAGCTAGAAAGTGAATTTAGTAAGACTGTAGGATACGAGATTAACACATAAAAACTAACTGTACTTCAATATAGTAGCAACGTAGAATTGGAAACTGAAATTTTTATAAATTTCAGTTATTTATAAATAAATAAATTTATATCATTTATATAAATGATATAAAAATCATTTATTATAGCTCCTCATAAAAGAAAACTTAGGCATAAATAAAATATGGACAGGATCTGTACGCTGATAACCACAAAATGCTGATGAAAGAAGTCAAAGGAGGGTAAATATATGAAGAAACATAGTATGTTTGTAGTTTGGAAGACTCAACATAGTAAGACGTCAGTTCTCTGCAAATCCAGCTAAAGATTTAACCTAACCACAATCAAAATCCCAACAGTACTTTTTGAAAATCCCTACACTACTTTTTGTAGGTATAGACAAGCTGATTGTAAAATTTGTATGGACAGGCAAAGGATCTAAAATACATTAAAAATTTTGTAAAAGCAGAATAAAGTTGGAGGAGTTATACTCCTCATGTTTAAGACTTCCTATGAAACTATACTAATCAATAGAATCTGACCCAAAGATAATGGAAGAGAATGAAGGATCCAGAAATAGACCCACATAAATATGATCTATTGATTCTGAGCAAAGGTGCAAACCCATTTAAATGCAGACAGGATATTCCTTTCAATAAATGGTGATGTTACAAATAAATTGGACCTAAACTTCACACCTTATACAAAAATTAGCTCAAAATGGATCATAAATCTAAATATAAATCATAACACTATAAAATTTTAGAAGGAAATCTTCATGACCTGGAGTCAGGCTAGGAGTTCTTAGACATGACATCAAAATCACGACTCATAAAAGAAAAATGAGAAATCAGATTTCACAAAAAAATGCTTAAAGTTTTTTCTGTGAAAGACCCTGTTAAGAGAACAAAAAGACACTACGGATGGGGGAAGTATTTGTAAATAACATATCTGGCAAAAGAGTTGTTCCAAATACATCAGAATATATAAAGAACTCTCAAAGCTGAGCAGTAAGAAAACAACTTTTTTTTAATGATCCAAAGATCCGAACAAACACTTCAGCAAAGAGAATATAAAGATGGAAAATAAGCACATGAGAAGATGTCTAGTGTCATTAGCCCTTAGGAAAATAAATAATTAAAGCCACAATAAGACACCAGTACATACCTATGGGAATGGCTAAAAGAAAAAATACTCACATGACCTAGTGCTGGGAGGGATGGAAGCAGCTCAATCTCTTATGAACTGCTGGTGTCACAGTCTGTCAGGGCTGCTATAACAAAACACCATAGACGGGGTGGCTTATAAACAACAGAAATTTATTTCTCACAGTTCTGGAGGCTGGAAGTCCGGGATCGGGTCCCAGTGTGGTCGGTGAGGTCCCTCTTGTGGATGGCAGACATCTCCTTGTGTCTGAACAGAGTGGAAGGGGGTGCTTGCTCTCTGGGGTCTCTTTGATCAGGGCACTAATCCCATTCAAGAGGGCCTCACCTTGCTCTCATAGCCTGATCACCTCCCAAGATCCCACCTCCTAATCCCAAACCCCTTGGGCAATAAGTTTTCAACATAAGAATTTAGGGGGACACAAACATTCCGACCACGGCAGTGGTAGAAATGCAAAATTGTCAGTACCTCTGGAAAACAATGAGTCGCTTTCTTATAAAGTTTGTCTTCTTATAAATCAAGTCACATCAACATTTTTTTCTGGCTTCCTTTACTCATCATGATGCTCATGAGATTCATACTCATGGTCAGTATTTCATTGAGTGAATGCACCAAAACTTATTTTACCCATGATGTTGTTGATGGGCATTTGGAAAGTTTCTAGCTTGGGCTTATGATCTGGAAGCACCTGTGAATGTGTCTTTTTGTGTGTCTCTTGGTGAACATTTCTGTTGGGTAAACACCCAGGACTGGAATCACCGGATCATAAGATGTGTGTGCGTGAGGATTTGGCAGCTGCTGCTAACTGTTTTCCAAAGGGGTTGTTCCAGTTCAAATTGCCACCAGCTGTGGTTCCAAATCCTTGCAAAATTAGCATTTTGTAGCTGTTTGGTTTTAGCCTTAAATTATACTAATGGAAACAAACATAATGTTGCCTTTGTGTGTTTTTCCTGCTTTTCTCCCGTTGAATGTGGAACTTCTCTCCCACCCACCCAAGGGCCCCAGCTCTGGAACAGTGATGTGTTGGTTCCCCCGGTGGCTGGGATGCATCATAACAGGTATGTGGATGCCCTTTCCTCCCAGTCTCATGGGTGCCCCTGAATAAACCATATTTTTATTTATTTTTTTTGGTGAGGAAGATTGTCCCTGAGCTAACATCTGTGCCAGTCTTCTTCTGGTTTTGTATGTGGGACTCCCCCACAGCACGGCTTGATGAGTGGTGTGTAAGTCCACAAAGCCCAGCTGTGGAAGTGGACACAGCAAACTTAACCATTACGCCACTGGGCCAGCCCCTGAACCATATCTTTGATCTGACCCAACTGTGTCTACAGACACATTGTTTACTGTAACAAGCTGCATTAGTTTAGTGTTATTTCCTGTTAGGCATTTTATTTAAAGGAATTTCAGTTAAAGAATCAAATAAAATATTTTTTGTACAGGCAAAATTACTGCAATATACTATATTGAATTAGTATAAAAACAACGATGAACATTACAAATCTTTCTTTTTATACTACTTGATTTATTTAGATGGATTTCTGCAAACAGGACACTCAAATACAGCAATTCTGAATTTTCTTTTAGTAAAATAAAAGCTTGGTATTGTCTTAATAATGACAGTGATATATTAACACTCTGAGTCCATCTACTCCTCAGCAGAGATTTGGCTGAGAGCAGTTCTCAAGCTCTGCACTTTGGAATCCCCTGGGAGCTTTAAAACATATTGATGCTCAGGTCCCACACCCAGAGACACTGCTTCATTGGCCTGGGGAATAGGAATGTTAAAACTCCCAGGGGCTTTAATGGGTGGCAAAGTTTGAGAACTATGATTTAGAGCAGTGGTTCTCAAAGTGTGGTTCCCAGACCAGCAACATCAGCATCACCTGGGAAGTGAGAAATGCAAAGTCTCAGGCCCCATCCAGATGTGTTGAATCACAAACCAGGGATCTTGGATGACACAGGGTGTCGAAACCCAGAGGCGTCCCTGAGGTGAGCATCGTGCAGGGACCTCACAGGCCCTGACAGACTTGGAGTTTGGGAGGCGAGGTAATTTGTCTGGTTGGATGGAGGCTCCTGTCAGCAGACTCCAGGTTAAATACGGGTGAGGTGTCACAGGCCCCACCTTCCCTCTAGCCAGGCTGAGGAGCCAGCACACCTGGGTCTCAGTGATGATTCTGTCCAACGCAAACAGTGCTCCATCCTCTGCACCCCTCAGACACTCAGTGTGTCACTGCTAGAAAATGGGTTACCTCTTCTATTTCCTCCAATGCCCACGTTTTCATCCTAGAAATGGAGCTCCATAGAAACTAAGACTAGAAACTGTGATCATCCACCTGCCTATTCCTCCAGAGCCCTGGACAATGGTTGCATTCTTTTTACCTTTTGTTCCACACTTTGTTCCTCCTGGACGAGGGAACATCCTGTGTCTCTAGGGCCGAATATATCCCATGCTGTTTCCGGGGTATCTCAAAATGGGTTTCCTCTTCACCTGTTGATTCAGGGACCCCATCTGTCCCTTCAGGCAAATGGACCCCCAGTCCCAATCTCTCCAGATTTCTGTTTGACTTCCTTCTCCCCTCTCTCCAATCCTCACAAGGCAAAGACACTTCTACCCACACCACCTCCATCTCCACCCCAGAGCACCCAGAACAGAGTTAAGCTTGAACTTTACCCATTTGTTGAAGGTCCAAACAATGAACTCACTTCACATACACCCTGAGTCTTTTTCCTGCATGCACAGTGGCTGAGTCTAAAAGCTTCACCTTCTCCAGAGTAAAACACACAGCAGATTCTTATCTTTACCAAGATGCCATGGATACCAATGGACCTACAAGGATCATCATGAGAACCAACAAAGATAGCTCACTATGGATCAAAAGGATCACCATGGGTCCCAACAGATCACCAGTGCTGACCATAGCTGTACGATTGATGGTGCAACCGTTTTTTTTGTTTTGCTACAGGTAACAAAATAAACAGAAATTCTTGCTCTGGTGCCACCCAGGGGGACACAGATGTGGGGTATTTCCAAGACCTACCCTCAGGAAGTCACCACCTTCCTCCCACCTGAGCCGAGCCGGAAATCCAGATGCTGCCACTGGGCATGGTCAGGACACAGCCTGGGATTGTGAGGAGAGGAGGGTAGAGCTTCCTAGGTGATGGCGAAGATTCCCAATTCATAAGGAGGTGAGGGTGCTGGGACTGCTTGGGTAAGAGGAGAAATGGAATGGAGAAGATGAGGAGGGGAGGAATCCTGTGCTGCTTAATCCATCACTTTCTATTCAGACAGTCAGGGCAAATGCAAACTGTCTCCATTCAGTTATCAAATAATCCATTTTCCATTCACTGGTGTGCCTTTGGTCCCTAGGGGCCCCTAGGGGCAGCACTCCCCCTCCACAAGGCCCAGGGTGTGAGTCTGAATCTTATCTCACCCACTGACCTCAGGATGCCCACAGGGCCTCCCTCTCCTGGGATAGATGGAATGTAGATTCCACCATGTCCTCCCCACAATGTCAGAGTTACTGGGGTGGGGTTCCAGTGTTTTTATGTGTCCCCATCCCTACCAGGGTCTGTCAGATAAGCAGGAGGGGCTTTCTTTGTATCCTGGCTGCCTTTCTCCCCCATCATCCCAAGCATGCCCCTCCAGAGCCTGTCACATGAGTGACCCCCTCCCAAACATGATCTAATGCTCCGTCTGCTCTGCTGACGCTGGCCTGGACAAAGAGGTTTGGAAAATTCGCTAAACGGTACCAGGACATGGTCAGAGAAGTGACTGTGGGCAGACACAGGATCCAGGATGGCGACAAGGGGGCAGCAGAGGAGCGGGAGACTAGAGACAGAGGGGCAGAAAGAAGGGGTGAGGGGTCTCCTCCAGTGTTGGGGCTGTGGGTACCAAAGGAAGGGACACACTTGCTGTCTCTGCAGGAAACAAGGTTTACAAGATGACCATGAACTTTATTAATGTTCAAATTATGAAGTCCAAAACAATGTTCAGATAAGTTAGAATTAAAAACAATGGAACCAGGTTCCTGGATACAAATAAATATATCAACTGAATCTTCTATATAGGACAAATGGATTTTAAAATAAAATACCATCTAAAATATTAGGCAATAATAAAAACGAAGTACTAGAAATAAACCCACAGAAAGAGGTACAGAAGACCTCTCTTGTTAAATAGTAACTTCCTAGAGAGTCTTCTAAACAAACAAACAAATGAATAAATACATAGTAGACTTAGATTGGAAAGATCAGTGTTCTATAAATGTCAGTCAATCCTAAACCATTTATGGATTTGATGCAATTCCAATTAAATTCCCAATGACGCTGGTCAAGGCCCTTAGAAAGCTCTCCGGCAGCTTCCACCAAAGTGAAACCCACACCTAGAGCAGCAATTCCCTGCTGGACCTCGGCACCCGCAGAAATGCCCACGTGTGCCCCAAATAACGGGGCGGGGACACTCAGAGCAGCGCGAACCTGATGGGCGCACCGTGAACAAGCAAACGCCCCCCTCCGCAGGTCGGATGAATGGAGGTGCGTCAGCGCTCAGAGGAGTGACCAGCTGTGAAGACCAACCCGCCACCGCTTCCCGCACTCATGTGGACACCAGGTGCAGGCCGACGACACCCTGGTCCCCTCTGGCCCTGTGGGACCTGCTGGACTTTTGGGGACAGAATCTTCTATAAATCCTGTAACCTCCCAGGGCCCAAGTCGTTCTCATCCACGAAGTCCTCCTCCTCATGGTACCCAGACATGGAGGAGGAGGAGGGTCCCTCAAAGGGGTCCTGGGGTGAGACGAAAGCTGTGAAATCAGGAATTACAACGGGATCTAACGAGAATTCCAAGGCATATGGGTCCTGAGGCCAGGCTGTGGCTGAGGCAGGAGACACTGTGCTCTGCCGTTGGGAAGATCGGGGCTCGTGGGAGGGATGGCTGCAGAAACCTGGACCCTCAGGGAGCGAGGGGCTTGAAGGGGCAGGCACGAGGCTGGGGCTCCAGGGCCCATGGGCACAGCACCGGCTCCCCTGCCTGGCGTCCTGGGCAGCTGCTGCAGGCTAGAGTCGTGAACCACACCTCCCCAGGGGACACAAGGAGGAGCACACAGAGTGGGCAGGGAGGACATGTTGGGTTTCCACATTGTTGCTTTCAAATCTGGGTTTTAGATAATTCCTTAGGTGGTCTGAATGTTGGCTGACTGAAGCCCACAGGGACACGGTGGAAATCCAGATGTTTCTCTAACTTCTCCTCGAGTCAAGAGTCCACACATCCGGTGGGCACACTCCCTTTAGCTTGTGGCGTGAATGTGTGAAGCCGTGGCCCTTAGAGTCCTTGACTGGGACATAGAAGGGTCGCGCCAATGAAATAACAATGCTATTCTGGATTTTCCATGTGGTGGATATGAGAATTCTCTTAGCCCAGTCCCTAAAGCCTGAAAGCATTTAATAAATTCTCGGATGGTTAATGATTAAATGGTAAAGAGAACTAGATTCTGTAGTCCAGTTAGAGTTTGATATAAATTCAACCCCACCTCTGTGTGAGTTTAAAGCACAAGAAGGATTATTCAGTGTATATTTCCTAAGAACAAAGATATTTCCTATAAACCACAGTAAAATTATACAAATCGGGGAATTTAGCATTGATGCAATACTATTATCTAATCCACATTGCCTATTCAAATGCGGTCAATTGTCCCAAGAATATAATGATAGCATTTTTGTGGTCCAGGATCCAATGCAGCATTTAGTTTACATGTTCCTTTAACCTGGAACATAGCCTCAGCTTTTCTTGGTTTTCGTAACAATTTGACAATTTGAGTACCGGCCAATTATTTTGTAGAATATCCCTCAATTGGAGTTTATACAATGTGCATTCATGAATACATTCAAGCCCAGCTTTCAAGTTTTAAATATGCCCACATAGAAATGGGTGAGAGTAAATTTACGGTAGAGAAATCTGACAAATGTTACCCCAGCTGGGTGATCAAGGTCAACATCAACAGTGATAGTCATGTGGACAGTATTCACCCCTGAAATGTTGTGATGATAATGGGCTTTTACCTCCACCATCTTCCTCCCCAAAACCCATAAGCCCAGTCTAATCAGGAGAAAAACATCCGGCAAACCCCAATAGAGGGACTTCTCCAAAATACCTGACCAATGCCCCTCAAAACTGTCAAGATCATCAAAAACAAAGTCTGAGAAACTGTCACAGCCAAGAGGAGAGATGTTGACTCAGTGTGATGTGGTGTCTGGATGGAACAGAGAAAGGAAATTAGGGGAAAGCTAAGGAAATCTGAAGAAAGTATGGACTATGAGAACTCTCTCTACTATCTTTGCAATTTCTCTATACAACTAAAACCGTTCTAGGGGCTGGCCTGGTGGTGTAGTAGTTAAGTTCCCATGCTCCACATTGGTGACCTGGGGTCCACAGGTTCAGATCCCAGTCGCGGACCCACACACCACTCGTCAAGCCATGCTATGGTGGCATCCCACATACAAAATAGAGGAAGATGGGCACAGATGTTAGCTCAGGGCTAATCTTCCTCAGCAAAAAGAGGAGGAT